TCACTGAGTAGGACAAACACTATGTGGTACTCACTGAGTTGGACAAACAGCACTATGTGGTACTCACTGAGTAGGACAAACAACACTATGTGGTACTCACTGAGTAGGACAAACAACACTATTTGGTACTCACTGAGTAGGACAAACAACACTATTTGGTACTCACTGAGTAGGACAAACAACACTTTGTGGAACTCACTGAGTAGGACAAACACTATGTGGTACTCACTGAGTAGTACAAACAACACTATGTGGTACTCACTGTAGGACAACCAACACTATGTGGTACTCACTGAGTAGGACAAACAACACTATGTGGTACTCACTGAGTAGGACAAACAACACTATTTGGTACTCACTGAGTAGGACAAACAACACTATTTGGTACTCACTGAGTAGGACAAACAACACTATTTGGTACTCACTGAGTAGGATAAACACTATGTGGTACTCACTGAGTAGGACAAATAAACACTATATGGTACTCACTGAGTTCGACAAACAACACTATGTGGTACTCACTGAGTAGGATAAACAACACTATGTGGTCCTCACTGAGTAGGACAAACACTATGTGGTACTCACTGAGTAGGACAAACAACACTATGTGGTACTCACTGAGTAGGACAAACACTATGTGGTACTCACTGAGTAGGACAAACAACACTATGTGGTACTCACTGAGTAGGACAAACAACACTATGTGGTACTCACTGTAGGACAAACACTATGTGGTACTCACTGAGTAGGACAAACACTATGTGGTACTCACTGAGTTGGACAAACAACACTATGTGGTACTCACTGAGTTGGACAAACAACACTATGTGGTACTCACTGAGTAGGACAAACAACACCATGTGGTACTCACTGAGTAGGACAAACAACACTATTTGGTACTCACTGAGTAGGACAAACAACACTATGTGGTACTCACTGAGTAGGACAAACACTATGTGGTACTCACTGAGTAGTACAAACAACACTATGTGGTACTCACTGTAGGACAACCAACACTATGTGGTACTCACTGAGTAGGACAAACAACACTATGTGGTACTCACTGAGTAGGACAAACAACACTATTTGGTACTCACTGAGTAGGACAAACAACACTATTTGGTACTCACTGAGTAGGACAAACAACACTATGTGGAACTCACTGAGTAGGACAAACACTATGTGGTACTCACTGAGTAGAACAAACAACACTATGTGGTACTCACTGTAGGACAACCAACACTATGTGGTACTCACTGAGTAGGACAAACAACACTATGTGGTACTCACTGAGTAGGACAAACAACACTATTTGGTACTCACTGAGTAGGACAAACAACACTATTTGGTACTCACTGAGTAGGACAAACAACACTATTTGGTACTCACTGAGTAGGATAAACACTATGTGGTACTCACTGAGTAGGACAAATAAACACTATATGGTACTCACTGAGTTCGACAAACAACACTATGTGGTACTCACTGAGTAGGATAAACAACACTATGTGGTACTCACTGAGTAGGATAAACAACACTATGTGGTACTCACTGAGTAGGACAAACACTATGTGGTACTCACTGAGTAGGACAAACAACACTATGTGGTACTCACTGAGTAGGACAAACAACACTATGTGGTACTCACTGTAGGACAAACACTATGTGGTACTCACTGAGTTGGACAAACAACACTATGTGGTACTCACTGTAGGACAAACAAAACTATAAGGTACTCACTGTAGGACAAACAACACTATGTGGTACTCACTGAGTTGGACAAACAACACTATGTGGTACTCACTGAGTAGGACAAACAACACCATGTGGTACTCACTGAGTAGGACAAACACTATGTGGTACTCACTGAGTAGGACAAACAACACTATTTGGTACTCACTGTAGGACAAACACTATGTGGTACTCACTGAGTAGGACAAACACTATGTGGTACTCACTGAGTAGGATAAACAACACTATGTGGTACTCACTGAGTAGGACAAACACTATGTGGTACTCACTGAGTTGGACAAACAACACTATGTGGTACTCACTGAGTAGGACAAACAACACCATGTGGTACTCACTGAGTAGGACAAACAACACTATGTGGTACTCACTGAGTAGGACAAACAACACTATATGGTACTCACTGAGTAGAACAAACAACACTATGTGGTACTCACTGAGTAGGACAAACACTATTTGGTACTCACTGAGTAGTACAAACAACACTATGTGGTACTCACTGTAGGACAAACAACACTATGTGGTACTCACTGAGTAGGACAAACAACACTATGTGGTACTCACTGAGTTGGACAAACAACACTATGTGGTACTCACTGAGTAGGACAAACACTATGTGGTACTCACTGAGTTGGACAAACAACACTATGTGGTACTCACTGAGTAGGACAAACAACACCATGTGGTACTCACTGAGTAGGACAAACAACACTATGTGGTACTCACTGAGTAGGACAAACAACACTATATGGTACTCACTGAGTAGAACAAACAACACTATGTGGTACTCACTGAGTAGGACAAACACTATTTGGTACTCACTGAGTAGTACAAACAACACTATGTGGTACTCACTGTAGGACAAACAACACTATGTGGTACTCACTGAGTAGTACAAACACTATTCGGTACTCACTGAGCAGTACAAACAACACTATGTGGTACTCACTGAGTAGGACAAACAACACTATTTGGTACTCACTGAGTAGGACAAACAACACTATTTGGTACTCACTGAGTAGGACAAACAACACTATGTGGTACTCACTATAGGACAAACAACACTATGTGGTACTCACTGAGTAGGACAAACAACACTATGTGGTACTCACTGAGTAGGACAAACAACACTATGTGGTACTCACTGAGTAGGACAAACAACACTATGTGGTACTAACTGAGTAGGACAAACAACACTATGTTGTACTCACTGTAGGACAAACACTATGTGGTACTTACTGAGTAGGACAAACACTATGTGGTAGTCACTGAGTAGGACAAACACTATGTGGTACTCACTGAGTAGGACAAACAACACTATGTGGTACTCACTGAGTAGGACAAACAACACCATGTGGTACTCACTGAGTAGGACAAACAACACTATGTGGTACTCACTGAGTAGGACAAACAACACTATGTGGTACTCACTGTAGGACAAACAACACTATGTGGTACTCACTGAGTAGGACAAACAACACTATGTGGTACTCACTGAGTAGGACAAACAACACTATGTGGTACTCACTGAGTAGGACAAACAATACTATGTGGTACTCACTGAGTAGGACAAACAACACTATTTGGTACTCACTGAGTAGGACAAACAACACTATGTGGTACTCACTGAGTAGGACAAACACTATGTGGTACTCATTGAGTAGGACAAACAACACTATGTGGTACTCACTGAGTAGGACAAACAACACTATGTGGTACTCACTGTAGGACAACCAACACTATGTGGTACTCACTGAGTAGGACAAACAACACTATGTGGTACTCACTGAGTAGGACAAACAACACTATTTGGTACTCACTGAGTAGGACAAACAACACTATTTGGTACTCACTGAGTAGGACAAACAACACTATTTGGTACTCACTGAGTAGGATAAACACTATGTGGTACTCACTGAGTAGGACAAACAACACCATGTGGTACTCATTGAGTAGGACAAACACTATGTGGTACTCACTGAGAAGGACAAACACTATGTGGTACTCACTGAGTAGGACAAACACTATGTGGTACTCACTGAGTAGGACAAACACTATGTGGTACTCACTGAGTAGGACAAACAACACCATGTGGTACTCACTGAGTAGGACAAACACTATGTGGTACTCACTGAGTAGGACAAACAACACTATGTGGTACTCACTGAGTAGGACAAACAACACCATGTGGTACTCACTGAGTAGGACAAACAACACTATGTGGTACTCACTGAGTAGGACAAACAACACTATATGGTACTCACTGAGTAGGACAAACAACACTATGTGGTACTCACTGAGTAGAACAAACAACACTATGTGGTACTCACTGAGTAGGACAAACACTATTTGGTACTCACTGAGTAGTACAAACAACAGTATGTGGTACTCACTGTAGGACAACCAACACTATGTGGTACTCACTGAGTAGGACAAACAACACTATTTGGTACTCACTGAGTAGGACAAACAACACTATTTGCTACTCACTGAGTAGGATAAACACTATGTGGTACTCACTGAGTAGGACAAACACTATGTGGTACTCACTGAGTAGGACAAACAACACTATGTGGTACTCACTGAGTAGGACAAACAACACTATGTGGTACTCACTGAGTAGGACAAACACTATGTGGTACTCACTGAGTAGGACAAACAACACCATGTGGTACTCACTGAGTACGACAAACAACACTATGTGGTACTCACTGAGTAGGACAAACAACACTATGTGGTACTTACTGTAGGACAAACACTATGTGGTACTCACTGAGTAGGACAAACACTATGTGGTACTCACTGAGTAGGACAAACAACACTATGTGGTACTCACTGAGTACGACAAACAACACTATGTGGTACTCACTGAGTAGGACAAACAACACTATGTGGTACTCACTGAGTAGGACAAACACTATGTGGTACTCACTGAGTAGGACAAACACTATGTGGTACTCACTGAGTAGGACAAACACTATGTGGTACTCACTGAGTAGGACAAACAACACTATGTGGTACTCACTGAGTAGGACAAACAACACTATGTGGTACTCACTGAGTAGGACAAACAACACTATGTGGTACTCACTGAGTAGGACAAACAACACTATGTGGTACTCACTGAGTAGGACAAACAACACTATGTGGTACTCACTGTAGGACAAACAACTCTATGTGGTACTCACTGAGTAGGACAAACACTATGTGGTACTCACTGAGTAGGACAAACAACACTATTTGGTACTCACTGAGTAGGATTGAAAGGGGTTTGAGTGTGGCAGCCATTTGATAGAGAAGTTGTTTGCTTTATGTACACACAGCAGGGGTTTGTGCCACTTTTTACTGGTGGCGGAGATTACATCCGCACATCCAGATAGGCTTGTTATTGTATAGTAATGGCTGCGTCCGTTGGAGTCGCCCAGCAATAAAAACTACAAATACACAACAATACATTGAATCGATAAAAGTTTAAGATTACAATAGCAGGTGGTGTAAGGCCTACATAACATTGAAAATCCATGTAAGTAACATAATTCAAATATAAGCATTTTAAAATAATGCCAATGATCATTTCTTATTTACACATATAGATATGTAGTTAATTGATTTTTATGCAACAAAAGCAGTTAATTTGAAAATAATAAACTATGCACTTTAAAAAAAATTAGTTAATGCATTTGCCTGAAAATAGAAATTTGATTTTGTTGGCTATGCTATATAAATACAAACCGAGACGTTTTTGAAACATGAATTTGAGTTGTCCCCCTTTACACGACACAGCAATGGCTGCCAGTGACCTTTGTAAAAATAGCCGGTTGGTTCAGGTTGAGCCCAGGTGTGTCGTGGTGGTACCTGGTTACATGGTGTTGGTGGGATCAGCCGGTCAGGTGTCGGGTCTACTTTCTCACCTGGACAGTTTGGTGTTTTAGAGTAAGATGTCAAAAAAAAGGGAAAAAAATAACCAAGTATGACTTGACGGATTAAAGAGCAGATTACGTAGAGTTCACCTGTTTCTTTGATCATATGAAAAGACAGTGCAGTCAGTTCAACGTTCCTTCCGTGACCCAGACACACACCTGAGTTAGATTGACTAGGGGTCGGCTTCGGTATTTAATTAAGTTAATCTGAGATGCGAACTAGAAACATTTGGGTTATCACTCCATGAGCTCTACCCCCCAGCCACACGTCCCTTTAAAGTCTCGACTTAGGGGTCATAAATAAATGACGTCACGCTTTTTTGACGATTTTTACCTCCCCCCCTCCCCTCCGTTACATCATCGTCACAAAAAGCCAGACCCCCCTCCCCCCTAAAATGACGTCACATCTCAGCCTACAACCCCCCTCAAAATCGCAGTTGAATTTTTCTTAAAAAATAGATTATTTTTCCGAAAATCTTGTCTGAACTCTGTCAACATAGAGTATTTTAATCAATTCCTATTACAATTTATTAAAACCGTTTTCTAAAACGCAAAAAAAACGGCTAAAACTCGTTTTCTAACATTGCTTTTTTATAATGCAAAAGTGTGACGTCACACCATCTGACCCCCCCCCCCCCCACCCCCCCCCCCCCGCCACTACTCCTCCTCATCACACACCGTCACAAAACTACGGACCCCCCTCCCCCCTACAAGTGTGACGTCATTTATGGACGACCCCTTACTCCCTAGAACAATCTACTTTAAAAATGTCGCGAGTATACTATACGAAGTTGAAAGGGAGGCATCTAATCTAGGGTTACCATGAACAATTCGTACCTTTTAAATCCTTCCTTTTCAGTACAAGGAGTTGAAATCTGTCAGTGCTTATGAAACCTGAACTTTAAAAAAATTCATATGTTTGAACCTATACATAATTATATAGTTCATTTTATACGAGGTACATTATATTAAATTAAAAGATTTTCATAACATTTAAATGTTTTAATAAGAACCAACCCCATTTTTTTCTCCAAGATCGTCTGCTCCGTGTCTGTTATAGGCGCGACAGCTGCATCCGGTAAAAACCTTGTGTGTATGTAGTGAGAACAGTTCAACTCTGTCTTCACAGGGCGTCCGCAGTACCACGGGGATCCGTTTGATGACGTCAAGTTACAGACCTCCCCCTGGGTGTACCCTGGGAGGACGTCAGTGTTGTGGCAAAGGGTTGCCTCACTCGCCTGCGGGTTGTTGTGGAGAGGGTTGTTAACAACAGTCATCACATTTTAAGGGAATGTCTTTGAAAGTCTTTTTTAGTTGTAAGAGGAGTCAATTTTTTTCACCCAAAAAAAATTGAAAAAGCTTTTGTTCCGCTTGACTGAATTCGTTAGAGTGACAGAAGAATGTAGTACATACAGAGGCGTAGCGACCCTTCCCGGTGCCCGGGGACAAACTTTTCGATTTGCACCCCCCCCCTCAAGATTTCGATTTATTTTTCCGACCCATTTTGGCGCCCCCTTAGGTCGGCGCCCGGGGACATATGTTCCACCCCCCGCCCCCCTCCCCCCTTGCTACGCTACTGATTAAATATTACATGCTGTAAATAATTGATTTGACCAGTAATAGTTAAATGACGCCACATAATCATTTAGACGTAATTTGATCAAGTTAAATGCAATCCAAATACGGAAAACACTAAAGTATAGATTATCGTGGTGTTACTTGACACTGTATTTGAGTGTATTAGGTTCAAGCTGTTAATATTTGTTTTTAAACATTCATAACTTAATTCACAGTGAGATTAAATTTTGGAATGCTTTGTATCGCTTTATATTTGCGTTATTTGAACTCTAAATTTTTAGTCAGCACAATGACTGTCATTTATGATTAGGCCTACAATGCAATGATGTTATTGAGATGCGTTACCTGTGAGTTCACAAACCCCCCAACAGTTTGTCTGAAACCTTTTATCATCAGGTGACTTGTAAGCAGAGCAGTAAAAAATTCTCTGGAGTAGGTCAGCTGTACAGTGACCCTGTCAACAATAAAACAAAAAATAGAAACCTTTATAATAACAAGCTCTTGAATGCAATGAAAAGAAAACAAACTTTACTTTCTTTAATAAAAGATTTGGTCGCTCATGAGTTCTCTTAAATAAATTTCCGGGAGGGAGGGGGGGGGGGTGGTAGGCATACACTGGTAGAAATATATATTTTCTATATAAATACTATTTCGTTCGAGGGGGTTGGGAGAGGTAGACGTTCCCCGGGGAGGAGGGATGCCTGGAATAAACTATATTGATACATTGTCATGGAAGAATAAGATATCTAGAAAGTCTATGGAAGCAAAGCCGGGAGTAAAATCAGGCTGATATCGGAGTTAACGAGCCATAAAACACATAACATATTGACACGTAATATGTAATTGTAATAGGGCTTGTAAGTAGGTCACCAGCTTCTCGTTCTCGAACTTGCCATCTAGTATTTTTCAAACCAAATGTGAACATTTTGATTAAATTGATTTAAAAAAATAGAAAAATAACAAGCTGACCTAAACGTAGCTACATTATTAATATATTATTAATAGCCTAGGCTTAGCGGTAGTTATTTTTCTATTATTAGTACACTATTTTAAATAATTGTAGCATTTTGGATACTCATCGTATTTTAATATATTGAAACGAGGCTAAGAAACAAATAGCCGCCATGATTTTATTATCAATGGGGATCATGTTCACAAAAATTTCTTTAGTTCAAAAAAGTATATCTCTACCTGGCTAAGGAGATTTCAAAATATAAGCGAGAGAGACCGAGACTCACAAGTCCTATTGTGAACGAGGAAGAATGCATCAAGGCAAGTTTTGTTTGTGGTCAGGGTACAGTGTATACATTTATAGAAGCTGCAACTTTGTGAGATTCCCCTCTCACCTGAGCCGACCTTCCCAAGGTAGAACAGCTGTAACCAGGTAAGTTCCATTGTTCAAATCTGTCACCTGACCTGCCAGTTTGCTGTCGTGATCCAAATCCTGGAACCAGGCTCTGATCTCATCGCCACCTTTGACCTTTGGCTGACCCTCCTGGTCCTTGACCTCCACACGGAGAGCGATGGTGTCGCCCACGGTGAATGTTTGGCTGGGGATGGAAATGTGAAGGTTTGGCTAGGAGTGGAATTGTGAAGGTTTAGCTGGGGATGGAAATGTGAAGGTTTAGCTGGGGATGGAAATTGTTTCAAGAATGACAGGTTGTGTTAGGTTTTGAATAACAGGGTAGCAGACAAAGCGTACAATAAGCTTTTTCCCTTTAGAAAAGCTGTTAACCTTAACTATAACCTTAATCCTAACCATAATACAAACCACAATGTTAACCATTGCCCTGCCCCTTTTCCCGCCCCAATTTCTTCCCTAATTCTAGCCCTAACCATAACATATCTTAGTTATCAATTTGTTATGGACAGGGAGAAAACTCCGAATGATGGACGGGCGAGGGGGGGGGGGGGGGAGACTGCTTCTAATTTATTTTGGGATAATGTCAATCATTTAACAATTCGCTTTAATTATTAGTTTGTGTAATAAAAACAGTTTGGCTAGTGATTGCCAGTCAATTTGTTTATTTTCAAACTGAACCAAACATGAATTAAAATTTATAATTGGTTGTGAGCGGTCATCCCAGTCTAATCAAACTACACGAGTAATTCTTTTTCCAGTTAAAAATACTCATAAAATGTCATAATACTAAACATATTTTGTGTGAGATACTTTGTCTGAAATATTTTGTCTGAGACCATTTGGTCTGAGTCCATTTGTCCTGAGACCATTTTGTCTGAGACCATTTGGTCTGAGACCATTTGGTCTGAGACCATTTGGCCTAAGATCATTTATCCTTGAGATCATTTGTCCTGAGATCATTTGTCCTGAGATCATTTGTCCTGAGACCATTTGTCCTGAGATCATTTGTCCTGAGATCATTTGTCCTGAGATCATTTGTCCTGAGATCATTTGTCCTGAGACCATTTGTCCTGAGATCATTTGTCCTGAGACCATTTGGCCTGAGACCATTTGTCCTGAGACCATTTGGCCTGAGACCATTTGTCCTGAGACCATTTGTTCTGAGATCATTTGTCCTGAGATCATTTGTCATGAGATCATTTAGTCTTGAGACTATTTGTCCTGAGATCATAAGACCACTTCTCGTGGAACTGGGATGGGTCTCTGAGCTTCTCGTGTGGGGGGTATCTGTCGTCGTCCCCTCTCTTCTACTTCGTTTTTAACTGCAATGTTGGAAGAGATTTCCTCCAGCACAAATATGTCTTACGTGTCAGTTTATTGTGCCTTATATAGGCGGTTGACTGATTTCATTCAGCTTTTCCTCTTGGATTTTTTTTTTGTCCAATCAAGAACAAACTACAAAGCGGGACTTTTCGGTTTGGCGGCTATGAGCTTTACCGACCTGACAAGCTGACCCAAGTTATTCAACCTTCACCACTACACACATATTTACGAAGCGTATTCACAAGCCACATATATACATACATTACTGCTATTGCTTGCCATCACTAGATCATCGACCCCATACATTCAGCCATCAAATATGTCCGTCCATACAATATAGACTTTCACTGTACAATGAGCTTGAACGGTGAGAATTGTGACAAAAGTCATCTGAAACCTAACTTTGATGGCGTGTTATAGACGCCAGCTAAAATTGATGGCGTGTTATAGACACCAGCTAACAATGATGGCGTGTTATAGACACCAGCTAACATTCATGGCGTGTTATAGACGCCAGGTGGTGGGATGCAACAAGAACACCAGACGACACACCACAAGGCCATCCGTCACAACAAATGAAGTGAATTTATTGTAAACTAATAAAAAAAGTAGATGGACGGATGGATGGATGGAAGAAATAAACCGGGAGTGATCTCCCCTAAACTTTCTCAAATATTCTTATATAAAACAAGAGTGGACGGGAACTCGGGATATAGTTATGATTTTTAATCCATTTTAAATACTTACACTTTTAAAAATGGAATAGAAAATCTCATAGAAAAAACAATTGCGCACCAAGCGAACGCCAAAACAAAATTTACATAATAGTGCGGAATATTATTAGTACTTAATAAATTTACATGCGTTTTTTGAGAAATCGGAAATAGCGTAAATTACTACTTCCGGTCAACGGAAATTACTCAAAATTTGATAGAAGGCAGAGAATTAGATCTTTTACTTACACGTGAAATTTTATTTATCCATCTGAAATAGTACTCAAGTTATAGGCTTTCGAAAAATTCAGAGTAGAAAAAGTTCCACTTCCGGTTATTGGAAATCGCTCAAAAGTTGATACGGATCTACGATTTGGATATAATGCTTATATTTGAAATTTCATCAACCTAGCTGTAACGGTACTTAAGTTATCGTGTTTACACACACACACACACACACACACACACACACATAGACATACGGACAGAATTGGATAATCCAGTTTTTCCGACTCCATTACGCATAAAACGCCAAAAATTTTATATATTTGGATTTATAATTTTTGCCCGATTCAAATAAGTCCTCTACATCCCGGGTGTGATGAAGGACTGAGGAGTAAAACGGTGAAAACTGTCCAAATTTAATGTGATTTTTGTGTCACGATTACAAGACTTTCTCTATACTTCGTATATACGAGAAAGTAAAAATTGAAGGACATAAGAGTATAGCAAGTGATTACAGGCCCACCTGTTGTTTAGCAAGATGACTGTAGATGACTTATGACTTGAGACTTGTGTCAGGTTTTCTATGGGCGGGTCCAGCACGTACAACTTTTCAAACTCGTACAAAAAGGGCACAGGTGGTTTACTCAGGAACTCAGGTAACCATAGGGCGTGGCATTTGCTGGGGGGGGGGGGGGGGGCAAGAAGATTAAAAAAAAATTAATGTCGGACATGTCACAAAGCTGTCAGGTCTAGCTAAAACTGTGACAGGTACACGAAACATAACCAGGCAGAATGGAAAATTGAAAGACAGGTTTATAAAACGGACGGGTCCGACATTCAAAGAACATAACGAAAGAAGATGGGCTGTAAGACAATATTTACCTTTTTAACATCGAAATAACTCAAATATTGCTTTCTCGAATTCAATAAAAACTTACAGGGTTATACCGACACATGTAGGTAACAATTCTGACGGATTACATTTTCAAATTTTCAAATACTTTTGCTTTTACAAAAAAAATTCTGAAAATCACTTTTTAAAAATCGACATTTCTACAAAAAATACACCTTTTTAACTGTAAAAGACAAATCAGATAAACTTTTAAAAATTTGTTCTTTCAATTGTATTGCTATATGTATACAGAATAATTGTAGAAAATTTTGATCAATTGTAATAATAATTAAGAAAGTTATTTCACTGTTAAAATGGTTTTAAAAATTCCAAGATGAAAATGAAAATTTTCGTCCATTTAAATTTTTTTGACTTAACTCTTTGCTAAATATTATAGCATTAGGTTTAGAAATAGGAATTTTGGTTAATTTAGTTTTCATCACCCGCGATGCTAGGGCTGTCAACAAATGGAATCTCAAACTTTAACTACACGTCATGTTTGGGCTGTCAACAAAAGAAATCTAAAACGTTAACTACACGTCATGTTTGGGGCTGTTAACAAAGGAAATCTCAAACGTTAACATCACGTCATGTTTGGGCTATAAATAAAGTTCCACTCACTCTCGAACTAAAGTCATCCATGCGTGGTCTGCGTCTGCCGTAAAGCTGCCGTTTAAAGATGGCCGACTGCGCCATGCTAACCTCGGCTCTCTAGCAATTTGTGCACACTCCACCTTCGTAGCGTCCATAGCAACGGTTTTATTCAATCTGAAGGCCAATCTGGCTCTGAATTCTAGAAGTTTCTCTACACTTGAAACGGTGTCATGGCTGGGCTAGGTAATAATTAAAAGTAAGTAAAGTTTAGTGGTAGCGTACTTTATTTGGTTGGTTATTTATTTTATGTGTTGTTTTTTTTTTTTGTACTGTTCATAAAGCGGTAGTTGCGCTGAAGGTTGTTTGCTTTTGTGCGGAATTAGCACGGTAGTAATATAGGTCAAGGCAATTTCCGGAGAAGGACGGAAGAAGGAGAGGCAAGGGCTGTCGGGCTTACGTGGGCTCAACTAAAGAGAGCTGCCCTAGTACGGTGGAGAGGTGGGGCTGCAGCAGCCTTTTGCTCCCCAGGGGCTACAAAGGAAAAAGTCAAGTCAGGGACGAACGTTTTTAATTAGTTTAAACATTCAACATTTGTCGCCTATCACTCTATAATTAGTTGCTAATCTTTTATTTTTAATGCATTAGATTAGATACCCTACCCCCCACCCCCCACACACACCTTCTATGTTCGTCTTACACAAACTTTCGAAAGTAACTTTACACAATGCTGTTCATTGCGGGGCGGTAGTGTCTAAAATGAAGCAATGAATCAGCGGACGTGATGTCACATGCGGATAAAAATAGAATGGTTTATTACTCAGTACATTAGCACACGTACATGCCGGTCTTCTTCGTTTAAAGTTTGACAGAACACGTCTGCTATAAAGTTGACATCTTAAAACAATGAGCCCCAACTAAGAAGAAAAAAAAACTTTAAGGACCTGACCTGACATAGACTGTTGAAAAGTTTTTGTGCATCATGTTCGAATCGAAATTGAGATTCACAAAACTAATTGACGGATTGTGTTCGCCCTTGTAAAAAAATGTAACAAGATTAACCTAAGCCAACGAGTTATTGCTTTTTTCTGTTAGATTTATATCTCTCGCTGAACTAACAGGACTTTCGTTCGTCGTTTGCTAATTTCTTATCTTTCTATGCTTGACCTAGTTTAGCTAACTACCACCATGACAAGTTGTTGAGAACGTCACAATTAGAGCTGGTCGATTCATAAGGGGCATGCGCAAGTTTTGGGGGATTGGGTACATCATATAAATATACATACACTCACGTGTGTATGTGATGTTTGTGTGTATGTATGTTTGTGTGTGTGTGTGTATGTATGTGTGTGTGCGTGTGTGTGTCAAAAAATTGAATACGTTTATGTTGAAGAACAGAAAAGAGCAGAATGCTAAACACAAAAAGTAACACAAAACAAAACCACAATACAGAACACGACAGCAGACTAGAATGCAACACAAATTATACAGCACAAGCCAGATGCTACACAGGTGGAAACAGCTAATGTACAGATAGTGAGATACTCAAGTGGAATGACTTTAAAAAACGGCGAATCGTTTAGCCGGCGAGAGGTTACCATGTGGGGAGTCGATAAAACATTTACGTAACATGGAATTCCTCGTTCAAATAGAGTTTCTGGTAAGTCGTCTGAAATGCAGAGGCGTAGCGACCCTTCCCGGCGCCCGGGGACAAACTTTCAATTTGGCGTCCCCTTCGGGAGCAAATTTTCAATTTGCATCCCCCACCTCAAACTTTCGATTTGCACCCCCCCCCCCCCCCCCAACTATTTATAATGCAAAAATGCAGCTTAAATAACATTTTAATTTGTTTTACATCCCATTTTGGCGCCCCCTAAGGTTGTCGCCCGGGGACATATGTACCTAACCCCATGCCCCCCTATGACTACGGCTCTGCTGAAATGACACCTACATGACAAGTCATCTGAAATGAAACCTACATGACAAGTCATCCGAAATGATACCTACATGACATCTGAAATAACACCTACATGACAAGTCATCTGAAATGACACCTTCATGACAAGTCATCTGAAATGAAACCTACATGACAAGTCATCTGAAATGACACCTACATGACAAGTCATCTGAAATGACACCTACATGACAAGTCATCTGAAATGACACCTAAATGACAAGTCATCTAAAATGACACCTTCAATAAGATAAAGTCACAGACTGCTTACCTGTGTTTCCCCACTTTTCATGACGTCATCCACGTGAAAGATGTGTACAACCTTGGTGTGTACTAACACGGTGGGCGTGTCATACCTGTGACACAATGACATAGATGTCACATCAACAGAATTCAATACATACATACCTACAATATAAGTACATAACATTAATAACTATAATATAAATACATGTAACCGCACCGGTTGACACCATTTAGGGGGTGACATTAAGGCAAAAAATAGCAAAATATATACAGAAAAATGATAATTTCACTTAATTAAATGATTAATTAGAGTGAATTAAATAGTCTCTTAAGAGCAAAGTGGACTAATCCCGAAACGGGTGGAGGGGGGGGGGGGAGTGACACCATGACGTAAACTTGCTAATGATAAAGAAAACATGCAACATCCAGCTGAATTTATAACCTAATATAGATTCCAATTGTTAGTATTATCTGAGCACAGTTTAAAGCAATCACCGTGGGGGTGACGGGAGGGTGGGGGAAGTTACATAAACTCAACAATGCAATATATATGCCTGAGGAAAACGGTTTGGTTGAGAATCGTAATAACATATATGTTAATCCATAATATATGTATATATATATATATATATATATATATATATATATATATATATATATATATATATATATATACTAGCTGTATACCCGTGCTCCGCCACGCTATGGATATGGATATTACCTCAGATATGAATATTACCTCAGATATGAATATTACCTCAGATATGAATATTACCTCAGAGTTTACCGCGCTGCGCGCGGGTGCGGATTCCTGCATTGGGTCGATTATTCCTTTAGCGCACCGCTATATATATATATATATATATATATATATATATATATATATATATATATATATATATATATATATATATATATATATATATATATATATTCTTAAAGGGGGGGGTGATGACACTATTAGGTGCCGCACCGGGTGACACCCGACCTCGCTGTAGACCTCCATATTTCTTGGGATAGTTTTTTTAAACTGTTGCAGTGGTAACCATTTTTCTTGTGCTAGTTATCCCAACAGACCCCAGTGGTAGCCCATCTTTCCTGTACATTCCATCTTTCTTGTTGTAGTTTATTGGTCTCTATCTTTCTAGTGTCGTGTCTCCGAGTTGTTCTTGTATTCCAGGTTATGGCCTGTTTGTTTCGCCATGCTAGACATTGCTTTACGTGTGAGGCTTAACATTCGAGTTTTAAGCGTTTCCTATTTGGCTATTTTTGGGAGCTTTATGGATTCACTTTTAGACTATTAAAAAGACGAATACTAATTCATTGAGGTATTTTTGGCGTTTGCCAATCTTCTACCAAACAGTTCATGCATTTTTCTCTCTATACCCAACAGCGTAAGCTTGTGATTGTAGCACAATCATCGATTTGGTATATGAATTTGTTTTTTTACTAAACCAAGTTTAAGGGGAAAAAAAACTTCATTGCAATTTTTGGGTCAGATTTTATTACCCCCCTCCCCACCCCACCCCCACCCCTCACTTTGGGTCTGGTGCTATGTTCGTTCCACCCTCAGGTTTCAGCTTCAATGGTAGATCGATGTAACCAATCACATAGTTTATTTTATTGCGGGCTAATTTTAACTTACCTGTCCTTATGTTTTATGTTGTGTCTACTTCTGTCTTTTGTTTCCAAAAAATGAACGGCCCTTTGCACAATACCTTGATCATATTTTTTTCCCACTGACATAAAAGATGATATCAAGTATTGATCGGTTTCATATTTTTCAGATTAATTACAGACAATATAACAGTTCTACCAAACTAATTGTACCCTGTTGCGTGCAAGGAGCGGGTCTCCCTTTGCAGGTCTCCACTACCTTATTTGTAAGCGGTACTCCTGTCGCCTACAATTCAGGGGAGGTAACGATTAAGGCGGGTAAGACGGGAGACGGGGTGCACAAAGACAATTTACTGTAACAATAGGTGCTAAGGTCACCGCTATACAGATGTAATAATAGACTTAAAAACCGGTGACGTTATAAAACAATGTACGACTAGCCCGTGCAAACGGTGTCAGTGCTGTTCGAACAAGTTGTCTGTGCACGCACAGAATATTTTACAAATAATAAACTCAGAGGCGTAGCGAGGGGGGCGGACCGCACCGGGTGACATCATTTAGGGGGGGGGGTGACACCAAGGCAAAATAGCTGTGTTTGTTGTAGAGCTGTGTTTGTTGTAGAGCTGTGTTTGTTGTAGAGCTGTGTTTGTTGTATGGCTGTGTTTGTTGTAGAGCTGTGTTTGTTGTAGAGCTGTGTTTGTTGTATGGCTGTGTTTGTTGTAGAGCTGTGTTTGTTGTAGAGCTGTGTTTGTTGTAGAGCTGTGTTTGTTGTATGGCTGTGTTTGTTGTAGAGCTGTGTTTGTTGTAGAGCTGTGTTTGTTGTATGGCTGTGTTTGTTGTAGAGCTGTGTTTGTTGTATAGCTGTGTTTGTTGTATAGCTGTGTTTGTTGTATGGCTGTGTTTGTTGTAGAGCTGTGTTTGTTGTATAGCTGTGTTTGTTGTATAGCTGTGTTTGTTGTATAGCTGTGTTTGTTGTATGGCTGTGTTTGTTGTAGAGCTGTGTTTGTTGTATAGCTTTGTTTTTTATATGGCTGTGTTTGTTGTATAGCTGTGTTTGTTGTATAGCTGTGTTTGTTGTAGAGCTGTGTTTGTTGTATAGCTGTGTTTGTTGTATAGCTGTGTTTGTTGTATAGCTGTGTTTGTTGTATAGCTGTGTTTGTTGTATGGCTGTGTTTGTTGTAGAGCTGTGTTTGTTGTAGAGCTGTGTTTGTTGTATAGCTGTGTTTGTTGTATAGCTGTGTTTGTTGTAGAGCTGTGTTTGTTGTATAGCTGTGTTTGTTGTATGGCTGTGTTTGTTGTATAGCTGTGTTTGTTGCATTACATACTTTACAGCAAGTAGAAAAACGACCCAACAAGTAGGTGTAACATAGAGCTGTTTAGGTGTATACAATTGGTGTCATTTGCTGTTCAGCTGTTTTTATGTGTTTACTGATGGTGTCATATGTTCTACATGGTAGTGTCACACGCTGTACTACTTTTTCAAAGCTGTGTAGGATTAAGGTGTAGTTGAGGGTGGGGGGGGGGGGGGTATCTAGGTGTGTACCGAAAGGGCTAGAAAAAACATTAAAATCACATTTAAATTACTGAATCATCAACAGACGAAGTTAAGAAATAGTTAACAAGTTTATAGATTGATTTTAATTACTTTCTATATCGATTTTGCAATAACAAAATAAATATAGTGAAAAGCAAGGGATCCATAAAAAGCGCGTCCCAACTTTCAAATGGTGGTGTGTGTGTGGGGGGGGGGGGGGATATAGAATAGAGGCCAGTTGTATCAATGCAACATTGTGTTAACATACAACTTGTGTTTTGTCTGTCCACTGGTGTGCTAGATACAACAGGTACTTGTTAAAAACCTACGTTTTTCTCCCCATACATACAAGCCATATAGTTACAAGCCTCTTATATAAAAGACATATATACAAGACACATATACAAGCCACATTTTTATACAAGCCACATATACAAGCCACATATATACAAGCCACATATACAAGACACATATACAAGCCACATATATACAAGCCACATATACAAGCCACATATACAAGCCACATATACAAGCCACATATACAAGCCACATATACAAGCCACATATACAAGCCACATATACAAGCCACATATACAAGCCACATATACAAGCCACATATACAAGCCACATATACAAGCCACATATATACAAGCCACATATACAAGCCACATATACAAGCCACATATACAAGCCACATATATACAAGCCACATATACAAGCCACATATACAAGCCACATATACAAGCCACATATATACAAGCCACATATACAAGCCACATATACAAGACACACATATACAAACCACTTATATACAAGCCACATATGTACCAGCCACACATATACAAGACAACATATACAAGACACACATATAAAAGACACATAAACAAGCCACATTTATATACAAGCCGCATATACAAGCCACATATACAAGCCACATATATACAAGCAACACATATAAAAGACACATAAACAAACCACATATATACAAGACACACATATACAAGCCACATATATACAAATCACACATATACCACATAAACAAACCACATACCACATAGCCACATATATACAAGCCACATATACAAGCCACTTATATATAAAGTCACATATATACAAGACACACATATAAAAGACACATAAACATGCCACATATATACAAGCCGCATATATAAAAGACACCTATACAAGCCACATATACAAGCCACATATATACAAGCCAAATATACAAGCCACAAATACAAGCCACATATATACAAGTCACACATATACAGGCCACATATACAAGCCACATATATACAAGACACACATATACAAGCCACATATACACTGAGTATATGCATATTATATAACACATCACTAGATCATCGACCCCATACATTCAGCCATCAAATATGTCCGCCCACACAATATAGACTTTCACTGTACAATCAGCTTGAGCGGTGATAAATGACAAAAAGTACACTGAAACCTAACATTCATGGCGTGTTATAGACACCAGCTAACATTGATGGCGTGTTATAGACACCAGCTAACATTGATGGATGGCGTGTTATAGACACCAGCTAACATTGATGGCGTGTTATAGACACCAGCTAACATTGATGGATGGCGTGTTATAGACACCAGCTAACATTCATGGCGTGTTATAGACACCAGCTAACATTGATGACGTGTTATAGACACCAGCTAACATTGATGGCGTGTTATAGACACCAGCTAACATTGATGGATGGCGTGTTAAAGACACCAGCTAACATTCATGGCGTGTTATAGACACCAGCTAACATTGATGACGTGTTATAGACACCATCTAACATTGATGGCGTGCTATAGACACCAGCTAACATTGATGGCGTGTTATAGACACCAGCTAACATTCATGGCGTGTTATAGACACCAGCTAACATTGATGGCGTGTTATAGACACCAGCTAACATTCATGGCGTGTTATAGACACCA